TATACACATCGGGTTTGCGTCATTGTGTTTCTTTTGAGAAATCCTTAAAAAAGAGAGGTCACTCAATAAGGGTTGTTAATTTTAAAAAAGTCACCCCCTACCCTTTACCCTGTTAGGGGAGTAGAAAAATATTTTTGATGTAAAAAATTACTAAACCTTTGTTAACAATCAACGCCACAAACAGAATATTTCTATCTATTTCGGTTTAAAACATACATATTTGTTTCAAGACTTAATGTACACACTGTAGGCTATATTCATACACCTAATAAAAATAAAAAACCCCACATAAACCACATACCATAAAGTCACACCCCCATAAACAATATACTTAAAATGTTCGCAACGAGAGACATTGCGCAAAACTATCCATTATTTCATAAATTGCCCTTTAAGGTCGTAATTTCTTTCTAAAGGGAACTTTCCACATACCTAATGTTAAAAATAACTCAGCTGTACTTATTTGTATGTTATTCTTTCAATTTGTACCTTATTAAAATCAGGTATGATTATTTGTTTGTATTACTGTATTCTGTTTTGTTTATTTCAGGTTAACTTTAACAAATCGATAGTTTTATCAATACTTCATTTTATTGCGTACACGATATTGTACTTAAATATTTTGTGACGACAGTAAAACAGTTTTTTTTTTAACTGGTGATATAAAAACGTTATGACACGTATCAACATTTATGACGTATATTTTACTGAAAAGGAAACATCTTATAAAAATGTTCCAAGTTTACAGTAAAACAATTAAGGATCAATTTATATATAAAAAATTACATTATGTATCAGTATAGTTTTTACATAATAATTTCATAAGGAAAGCAATTCAATTAAGACAAACTGTAGAACTAAAATATATAGTTCACTGTGAAGACGAAATATAATTAAAATGTTTCTAGCTAACACTCTTACAGTAAAACAATTAAGCAAACCCATAGATTTAAACAACAACATAACGTATACGTAAGAAAACTTTTAACCTAATCAATACAACTTGTTTACATCGTTAATTCTGGCTCAATAAATGATTTTATTTGACGTATTAAATTACATGACTACTTGTATACGATTTAACATAAATATTTCACGATGAAAGCAAAACAACTAAGTTAAACTGTAGGTTTGAAGAAATTATACCGCGTATTAAATTTTATAATATAACTGCGTAGACTATTTCAAATAAATATTTCACTTTGATACAATTAAGAAATCAATTAATCACTAAGACTTAAAACTATTTACTGTCCCATTCAGGCTTCTACGAGCTTGACCAGATACGAGACCCCTGGTTTATTATTACAAACTTTTTTAACTTTTAAAAAGCTCTTGATTTCATTTTAATCTATTAAGTTGTGTTTTAAGTTGACAGGGGAGGTTCGCACGCCACTCGTTTACCTGTACCAGAATACCAAATGAGACAGTAACTTACTTGAACTTACTTGATACTAGTCATCCTGTGGGAAGAGGTGCCTGCGTCAGTCATCCAGGATGTTTACTAAAAAAAAAAAACAACAGAAAAAACACCAAATAAACCCATAAGTGAAAATTGACTCACCCAAAGTTGAAGAACATTTTGAATTCGTCAGCAGTGGTTGAAGTTCCTCAGCAACGATTGAAGTTCGTCAGCACTAGTTGAAGTTCGTAAACAGCATTTAAGTTCACTAACACTCACTGAACTTCACTTTTCACAACACTTAAGCACTTAAATTCACCATCACTCACTGAACTTCACTTTTCACAACACTTAAGCACTTAAATTCACTAAAACTTACTGAAGTTTACTTTTAACAACACTTAAGTTCACTAAAACTCACTGAACTTCACTTTTCACAACACTTAAGCACTCAAGTTCACTCACTGCACTTCACTTTTGACAATTCTAATAACTCACTAATTACTTTAAATATCGCGCACTTGAAAGGAGTAAAACACCGGGGAGTTGAGTAGCGAGTTTATATACGACACCTTGCCCAGCCTCTGATTGGCTGTCAGGTTGACCAATCACAGACGAGTACTATTGTCACCTGACCAATGGCGGGGATCGCTTACTGTGCAAGATGTATTTTTAAAGTTACAGATACTGCGTTTTAATTTGTATCCAACCCAATACTTGTTTAATATTAAACCGTGTGTTGTTCAACAAAAAACATGTACACATGACAATTCTTTTTGTCTATGATATGACCATTGACTATTGTATTGATAGTCAAAGATATGACGCATAATATCTTGACACTTGACAAATTTCACTACTGAAGTAAGATTTACTAAACAGCTGTGTTAGTAAATTTTCTTCAAAAGAAATACATTGGGATTTTGATGGCATGTGGGGCAAAGCCCGAGGACTTTTATTACAGGAATTGGTGAAAGGAGGCGTCTACACAAGAATTACTTAATTTTAACACCTCGCTTGTAAAAATCCGTCCATTATTGGAGGAGTAGTGTTTCGTAGAAATCGCCTTCACTTATTATATATAAGGATTCCCCAATAGTTCCTTCCACCTTAAACTTTGAATTAAAAGCTTTGCACCTCTTAAACTTAGATGTACAGTTTTTTCGGGATCTAAATAAAAGTAAGTTGGTGAAGGAAATAAACTCAGAACAAAGTTCGGGATTAACGCTTTCCTACAGCGTATAAAAGCAATAAGAAAATATTTTTCAAAATTGTAAAGAAAAAAGAATCCACTGTTCTTCGAGGTTCTCATTTTCAATGCTGGGCATTTAAATTTCCGAAATCAACTGATGATGTATTCATGTAGTCAATTATTGTAGTTTGAAAATATGTTGTCTTCTATATACTTTGGATGCTGAAGTAAATATCCCAAAGATATGGACCTGCTTTATCCTACGTTTTGTCATAGATTAAACATACTTAGCCTTATTAGATTTGTCATCCTTTATGAAGACAATACATTTTGACGGTAGTCCCATCTGGAGTCTCTAGAGGCGTGTTTTGATTTACGATTTGTTTCATGTTATTTCAATTATTAAAAGTAGTTTAGGAAAAAAACTATTCAAATACAAACAATAGCTCATCCTATGGTTTCAGAATAGAAAAGTAAAGCATGAATCTTAAAACAAGGTTAACAAAATGTTGTCGACACTAGCGCCCAGTGTCACCAACACGAACCAGACATGAAACAATGGGCTTTACATCTAAACAGTGGGATGAAAAGTCTATACAGTACTTTATTAAAACAATACACAATTGAATAACACTTTTAAATAGTACACCTACAGTCTAAAATTGGAATTCATAGCTTACAATAAGTCTTCATATAAGTTTGACTTGGTTAAACCATAGACTAAACAAACACAATGTTTTATCTATGGTTAAACACTTGTATTCGTCAGAAATTAGTAATAATTTGTATCAGCGCTCTTTTGTCAGTGGCTCAACTTCGTTCAAAATTGTACCGTTTTTTTGTTGCAGTAATATATAGTAGGGATATTATTGATGTATAACAAAAATAAATGAAATATTATGTAAAATGTAATTTAATCTATCTATACTATTATAAAAAAGAGGTGGTTGCTGTATGTGTGTATTTGTGTATGGGAAAAGTAAACTCGAAAAATACTGGTCGGATTGGGCTGAAATTTGGCATGATGATAGCTCACATTCCCGATTAACATATAGGCATATTCTTATTTCAAAAATCCTTTCGGGCTCCGCCCCAGTGGCTCTGGAGTTTCCCATGTTAACCTTATGAGAAATGGAATTATTGAATCTTAACAGCTGTTTGGTTCTGTTCTATGATGTTCAATAGCATTAAAGTTACAAGGATTACCAACAGGGTGCAGCACTATTATTTATTTTACATTTATGACAACAGCTAATTTGCAACCAAAAGGTGAGTGAGCGTAGCGAACGAACTTCAACCTGGAGGCGAGTTAGCGTAGCGAACGAGCTAACCTGAAGGCAAGTGAGCGCAGCGAACGAGCTCCAACCTAAAGGTGAGTGAGCGTAGCGAACGAGCTCCAACCTAAAGGTGAGTGAGCGTAGCGAACAAACTTCAACCATGACGTGATTGAGCCATGCGAACGAGATAATCTTGAAAATTAAGAAGTTAAACGGGGCAAAGCCCGCGGGTTACAGCTAGTTTATTATAATTTAAAGTACAAATTATCAATCTTTTATTTGTATGTTCCCTATCTAACACTGCTTACCATATAAATATTATTTTACCATAGTCTTCACTGTGCCATCTAAATTACCTTTTGTATCTTATTTGATTTGTTTGTTAATGCCTGATTTGTTTATGTACTGTAATTAATTTATCTTTGACTTGTGTTTTATTGCATGTAATCAACTTTATTAACATATCCAAATGCATGTACATGTCTAACGGAATAAAATATTGATTCTTGAAATTTAAAATTTAAGTAAACTAAGGTATGTTGAACTATGATGGCCAGTCGGAATTTAAATACACACTTCAGGTAACCCTCAAACTGATAGAAAATATGTTTAATGCAAGTATGCACCCTGGTACAATATTTTTTTATTGTGAAACTTAGTATATGTTAAACAATTTTGCTTGTGTGAGATTCTTAAACATTTTTCAAAGCCAAGCTCAGCACTTGTAGTCAGAAAGGCCTAAAGGCACTTTGCATATCGGGTCAAAAACAATACTATACTCAAAGTAAAAGTCGGGACTTCTTTATACTTATATATTTGTTTCTTTTAATTAAACATGTTTTAAACCTATTTAGCCATATTATACCATTTATTTATTAACCATTGCATCTCATTTTGGATAATAGCCGAAGAGTAAATATAATCCGAAAATTTATCCTAAATTAACATGAAAAAGTTTGGTTAGCACTAGCGCTCAAGTGTCACAAACACGCAACTCACATAATAAACTTCAGATTGTTTACAATTAGATGAGAAAGTGTACTGTTCAAAGTCAACGCTAGTTCTCAATGCGAAGACTAACATTCTTTGAAACATATGTTGTAAACAAAATACAATTTTTAACCTTTTAGTAAACAACTATATTCTAAATTCCTGTGTTTTAAATTCTAAAAACCCAATCAAATCGATGCAGTTGAAGTATGCAAAATCGTCCAGCAAATTCGCCTTTGAAGACTAGAAAATACTCCTTTGTGAAAGAAACAAAAACAAAACCACCGTCTGCAAAAAGTGGGTTTCATAAGAATTGCTCACCTACTCCTGAAACTTATTTGAGACATAAACCAACCTCGATTGGATACAACAATGATCCAAAACCCTTAAATTGCAAACTTGCGGATAAAAGTGTTTCCCCTAAGCAACTGAACCAGTGTAAAGCACCAAATTTATCTACTAGACCATTACCTAGATATGCCACATCTGCAAACTCTAGACTTTCTTCTGTCTCAAAAAGAACTTTCGGAAATACCTTAGATGTTTCGTCTAAGCAGTCACCCCTGAAGAACCCAATATCAACTCCGCCTCCTCAGGAAGAAGTGTTAAGAGATGTTTTGAATCAGTTTTCTTCAAAGTTTGAAGGAATCTCTAGGTCTATTATCCAAATCGCTGACTCTAAAAGGCCTGTGAGAACCAAATCTCTAGAAGCTCTTCTAAATCTGGAGATATCCAACTCTCTTGGTGACGCTGTTAATGATCCGGCTTATTCTCAAGGTTTCGTAGCAGCTACTAGGTAAGAATCTTTGACTAAAGAATCTAAAGTAGTAGGTGTTGGTGTTGGTAGTAAAGAACGTAAGGATTAGGCCTATGTACGTAAGGAAGAACGTAATAGGATATGGGTGGAAATACATACGAGGGTTTAAAAGTATTTAGTCCTTTCATAGATATTTCAAAAGTTACTTTGACACTTTCCTGTTAAAGGAAACATTCATTATTGTCGGTGAATTTATTCGATATATCTATATTTTTATTTCATGTACGATCCACATTCCTTCTGCAAACGCAGATACAAATTTACAACTATTCTTGTTTAACTTAGGCAAAAATAATATCATTTTTAAAGAGTTGTTAGCCTCCGGATTACTTTTGAATATTTATAATGGTTTAAATACTGTACCTGCATTCAGTAATCCAAAATGCTGCTTGTGGCAACTATAGTTTCGATTCACAGGGAACCATCTTCAGGCCGTACAAGGCGTCGTTATTCATCTCCGTATATGAAGGTCGTCATTTGATAAATAAGTACATAGAACACGAACAGATTCAAAATTTTCAGTACGGCCAATATAAGTAATTAATAAGGTCGAAAATAACGAAATTCGGGTTTTTGTCGATTGATATACCTACCTCATTTAACATAGGACAGGACAGTATTGGTTAAAATATTGAATTAAAGATGTAAAAGGTCGAAATAAATCATTTTATTAGCCTATGCACGGTCTGAGAAAAAGGTACCTCTTTTCGCTCATGTTATTTCATCATAACTACAAGAGGTCCCATTACTAATATTCACTTTATAAACAGACTTTAGTCCAAAAATGAATTCTAATTCATTCTTGTGGTAATTTAGAGAACTACATAGTTCAGTTTACGGAGAACAAAATATCTAACGAATTTTGTAGTCCCGACAAGAGGTGCCTTTTATGAACAGCAATTTACTTTCTAAAACAATCATAAAATATAGGGCCTTCCATAAAATAATCAAAGTTAGCGGCCATATTGGAAAAATGGTGGCTAAAATAATTTTTCAACTTTGACCAAAATTGTTTAAATTAAAAATCTAAGACAGTTACAATTTGACATTTTGTTATATCTCTTATAACATTAGAATAAAATAGCTGGCACACTTAGGCTATATCAATGAACTTGTATTTTAAAATTAAATCATAACCTACAGTTATATTTTAATACACTATTTCGGTTTATCAATTATTTCCACCCAAAACACTAACTCAATTTTTTTTTAACAATACTTCCTCCATAAGTATGGGGAAGAAATTAGGCAAAATGTTGCAAAAAATACAATGTTAGGATTAAAAACAGCCTCATCTATATGGGAAATATGAGAAAACTAAAATATTTGATTTTTAGGAGACTATTGGAGGAACTCGTTGAACTCTATGAAGAAGGAAAACTCAACCCGAATCTGCTGAAAGAGCGACGGTCCTTCATCAGGGCAAGCTCGGCCACCACAGTCTGGTCAGTTGTACCAACTCTTCAGTTCTCGTATGCCAGGTGTACCAACGGAGAAAACACAAATGTTTCCTCCTGGCAACTACCTGGTGTATTGTTACTGTAATAAGTAAGTTATACAAAAATTATGATAGCAGATATCCTAGCCCAGTGCTGCAGTAGGCTCAACTAATACGAGGCATGCTTTTTTAAGTAAGTACCTACAGTTTTTAAATTTCTCCGTTCCAGCACTGCGATTGGCATTTTCGACGATTGCGCTGTGTTTGGGAATATTTTGGCAAGACCTAGCAGGAAAATTTAAGAACAATCGGCCGTGTTTACATCCGGTTTCGAGCATTCAAAATGGTACCGCCAATTGAGACTGCCGCCGGGCGCCGACTGTGAAGTGCGCTCTGTAATTAGATTTTTAAGTGCTAAAGGTGTGAAAGCTATTGAAAATCATCGACAGATTAAATAAATATATGGTGAGAACATTATGAGTGACGGAATGGTACGCATGTAGGTAAGGGCATTTTAAGACGGCCGCATCAACGTTCATGATGAGTAACGCACTGAGTACTGGGTAATGACGCCGCCCAGTGCGTTACTCATCATGGACGTTGATGCGGCCGTCTTAAAATGCCCTTACCTACATGCGTACCATTCCGTCACTCATAATGTTCTCACCATACATTTATTTAATCTGTCGATGATTTTCAATAGCTTTCACACCTTTAGCACTTAAAAATATAATTACAGAGCGCACTTCACAGTCGGCGCCCGGCGGCAGTCTCAATTGGCGGTACCATTTTGAATGCTCGAAACCGGATGTAAACACGGCCGATTGTTCTTAAATTTTCCTGCTAGGTCTTACCAAAATATTCCCAAACACAGCGCAATCGTCGAAAATGCCAATCGCAGTGCTGGAACGGAGAAATTTAAAAACTGTAGGTACTTACTTAAAAAACATGCCTCGTACATTTAACACTCTCAGATACTTGCTTGTCATTCACTCAACACAAATATTTGGGCCTTAAACAATTCCATAGCATAAAGATGTTTTACGTCTATGCTCTGTCTTATTTTTTATAAAACGTACAAATAACGTTTAGGAACATTAAGTTAAATCAGTTCACGGTATTGTTGCCGTGGTAGCAGAGCGAGGCAGTCAGCTGTCCTGCCTGCTATCAGTGCTGAATCAGCTGTTAACAACATACCACCTGATCAGCTGATCAACATGTGACAGTCCAGACTTTCAATCATCACGTGATCAAATCGTGAAATGCATGCTGTCCTGTGTTGTTTATCAATGCATATTAACATATAACTTACTTATAATTACCTTTTTTGTCCCAGGACACCAGATTTTTTTAGTCCCACGAGCCCGGGATTGTTTTTCACATTCAGGCTTAGGGGTTGCGCAATATCACTTAGATAAAATCTATTGTTGGTTAGGCAGGATTTGAACCCGGGACCTTATTTTAAAATAATTATTGCTAATTTTATTGCTACCAGTTAATTCCATTCATCATTATCCAAGGTCGAATTAAAAATTTTTCGGAACCACATTCGTGCGTTCCACCGTTGCCAAATATGATTACTATTATCCCTTGCTACGATGTATTTTCTAAAGCTTAAGTTATCATTGCACAAAATCTTTTTCCCATTCAAAACAGTAGAAATATTATAAATTTTTTTTATTACATTACACTCCCTAACAGAGAATATAATATTTTTTAATGTGCAATTACGAAACATTAGCTGTTTATCTTGCATAGAGTTACCAACTTAAATTTTAATCTCATCACCCTGTAAAAAATTAAATGTTTGTTATAAATCTATTTATAAAAAAAAGTAAGGCTCAATGGAACAGAAATTTTATACAGAAATAACTACTGTACTGAGGATGGCTATAAGTATGTTTCTAGTTTTATATTGTTAGTTTTATACCTAAGGCTGTTCTAGATTTTCAAAGTTCTGATGGGAAAGTTCGGGAAATAAATGTATATTTTTTATGGATAAGAAACTAGAAACTATACAATATTTTAACGTTTACGTTTGATTTGTCTCCTAAAAGCTTTCCGTTTTACTTCTTCTATAAGTTTATCTAAAATTTTAGAATATAGATTCTGGAAAACTGAGAACGTTTAATGGCTTTTATCCGTGATTTTTTGTGAAAACTAATTTATGTTCAGTTATTAACAGTTTTAGCTTAAGTGTATTCAAAGGAATGTCCTTTTCTAACTTTTATCCTTTTCAAATCACAAAATGAAAACAATACATATCAGAGGGATATACTCATATCCCATAAGTAAACAGCCAAACCCCAGAAAACTGTTTTATGGGTCAAAATTAAAATAAAATCAAGAATGAAATGTTCCCCAAAACCTCGTTAACGTGATACCCACCATTTTAATTATTATTACATACAATTTTTTCTTTGAACATTTCTAAGTGATGTTTATGAAACTTATTATGTATTTTAAGGCGGAAGAAACCTATGTTGGAAAAAAATATTAAGGTGGACCAATTTGAAATTTAAAATTGATTGTCATTTTAATTTTTATGACATAATAAATTACTAAAACATGGCTGATTATAAAAAAATTTATAAAACACTTTATTTAGCATTTGAAATTTCCTATCAAACCAGGGTTCAAATTTAAATAATAACTGAGTTCAAAAAGATTAAATAAAAATAGCTGGTATATCACGATTTTGAGTTGTAAAATGTGGTGAAGCTCGTCGTCAGGTTGCACCCTATTTTGTCTGCTTTACAACCTAAAACTCGTAATATTTCAGCTATTTGTTATTTGATATTTTTTAATTGGTGTCATTTGATAGGAAATTTTAAATGAAAAATTAAAGTGTATTAGACATTTTTTATATAATCTGCCATGTTATTTTAGCAATTTAATTTATAACAAATTAAATTGCTACCATTTTGAAATTTCAAATTGGATTACCTAAATTTCTGTCCAACATAGGTCTATTCTAAGGATCCAATCTAAAGAGAACCTTTGATGAGACAGTCCAGATATGTTGGCTATATAGGAAAGTTTATGACTAATACTTTTAAACTTCAATCTAGGACTCACCCCCTTCACTTCTAAAGTTACCACATAAAGCTTATGAGAAATGGTAAAATCAATTTTAGTAGCCTTCTTGCTGTTTTTAATCAGCTTCTAATGACATTTTTCATTCATTCTAGATCCATACTGAGTTCCAAATCATGGTAAAACTGCTATAGTTCGGCCGCTTAGAAAGCGACCTCCTCCAGCATTGGCTTAGCATTAGCGCGCAGGTCGTTTTCTAAGCGGCCGAACTATAGTTGGTATTTAAATTACATGTCAAAAAATTGACAAAATTGATTAAAAAACTTAAATCTATTTTGCAGCTACAGAGACAGATATTTCAAGGAGCTTGTGATGAATGTACTGCAAAGCATGACTTCTAGTGATGTCGAGGAGGAGGTGACAAACCAAGCAGTGCAAAGTGAAGAAAGCAAGGAACGCATCAGGGTCATCAGGGAAATGGTGAGAACAGAGGCGGGGATTGAACCAGACAACTTCAAGGAACTGGAACAAAAACTGGAACAGTTGAGAAGGACTTTGTCCAAAAACAAGTTGGAGGTCAAGAAAGCAGCCTTAGAGGTGGAGAGAATAATTTCCCAACAGACTTTAGATCGAAGCAATTTTGAAATACCAAAGCCAGTTCGAGAGGTGTTAAAATCATGTTGTGACAAAAGACTGAAATCTGGAAGTGATTTTGGAGATGGCGGATCCTATGATCAGGAACTCATAAAGGGAACAAGTTTAAAAAATAAAGCTGGAGACGGTTTGGAAAAGTACAAGTACAGTTTGAACGCTGTTGGTGAAGACGTTTGTTTTTCAAACGGGAACTCAGATGAGATTAAAAACATTAGACCGGAACTGAAAAATTTGGTACAAGAAGAATTACTGAAGATGAGAATGAATAAAGAAGAAATTTTGAATCGAGATAGAGAATCTGAAAGAGTAATAAGAATAGACAAGACACCCAGTAGTTCACTTGAGAGTGTAGAGTATAAAAGTGCAACTTCAAATTTTGGAGATGATGATGATGAAGACGACGTTCGCGATGAAGAAACTAAAAGGTTTATACATGATTTTAAGACTGAGATAGAAGGAAAACAATTGGCTGATGAAGATATTTTATACTACAGACCTCAAGGATGTTATATAACAATTATGGAAAAAATAGATGAAGATGAAGAGGAAACTAGCTATGACAAGCCAGAAGAAAAGTCTGTTGATTTTACAAACAAAGAGAACAATAGTTCTTCTTGCCCTTTAAATTCATCAAACAGTAAATCCAATATTCAAGAATTCAATGAGACCTTGACACTTCGTTTAAAACACCAGTACAAAAGTGAAAAGCTGGCTAGTGGGAAGACTACGATTGAGCGAGTTAATTCCGAATGGGTTTACCGAGAGGCTTCCGATAGTTGTGACTTTCAATCAGAAATTGACAAAATGCTCAAAACCCTCCAAGCTGTGTCAAGTTTTAATGACACCACTGAGGGAAATGAGAATGCTAAACGCGATGTGGGAGGATTAGATAAAGCTATACAAATTAATCCTTATGAAATTTGTCCATGGGATTACTCAGTGGGGGAGTTATCCGACGTACTAATGAAGATTTCAATAAAAATTAATGACCTTCCTGAATATTTACAAGAGACAAGACTGAAGTCCTTTCCCAAAGAGAAATCCCACGAAGTTTGTAGCCACTATTTGTTGGAAAAAAGTATGAATTTTTCAAATGTTGAAAAAAAGAAAAGAGTTGCTGATGGAACAAATTTATTAGTGAAAGGTTTGGCTGAAACATTTTATTTCTTGTCTACTTCTTTGAAACAATCTCCCGTGGATATACAATCCGAATCTATATCTGTTCTAAAACCGCCCAAATCCTTGATTGAGACCATTTATGCTCTTGGCTCAACAGCTTATTTTAGAGATTGTTTTAAATCAGGAGGAGAAAACACAGAACAACTTACAGGGCTCTTGGAAAGCAAGTTTGAACTAAACAATTGTAAAAATAAACCGAAAGATTTGAAAGACAATTTTAATGTACAGAACAATTCCTCATTAGATACAGAGAGTTTCCGCACACCTAAATTGTACACTTTTAACAGAGATAAAAAAAGACCTGAAGATTTAGATAAGAATATTTCCAAATTTGAGCATTTCATAGGCCTATCAGCTTCTGTAATGACAATACAAGATGTTTCCGACATGTTCTTATATCTATCAACAGTTTTAAACGACGTTCCAGAGAGACTTAAGTCAATGAAGGTTCTCGACCTTGACCCCCCTTATTCTTTTTTGAAAGCTTTAGACATCTTGTACAGTGATGGTGGTGGAAGTGTAGAAGAAAACTTGTGTACAGAGTTTAAGAGGGAAAAGAGTTTTCCTTCCTTGACAGTACAAAATGTTGGAGACTTTTTGTTGAGTTTATCAAAAACATTTGATGATATTCCTGAAAATATTAAAGGTGCCCCGGTCACAGACTTGGATCCCCCAGATTCTCTGATAAGAGCGATCACACTGCTGACTTCTCTTTCGCATTTTAGTATTCCAGAAAGTTACAGTCAAGAAATCGAACTTCATGAAGTTTCTCTTGTAGCAAATGAAGGAGTCGGTAACAATAAGGAGGGTAACACTAGTGCAGACATATAAAGATTCAATGATTTGAAATTACATTCTATTTGATTGGGCATATTTGTTACACTTGTACTTTTATGAATTATATATTTTAACCTTGAAACGTTTAATTTATTTGGAAAATCCTTTTTTCCTTATGGAACTGTAATCTGATCCAAACTCAAATTAACTTCATAAAAGCAGGCTGAGTGAAAAATAAAATGCTGTTTTTTTTCATTATTCCTCACTGTTACTTGAAAAATAAAAGGTTTGGTCAAAGAGAAGAAAGGTACATAGGAGACTTGCTTACGAGACGACAGCTTTAGTTTGTTATATGTGTGCAGCGCATACATACACGCTAGGGAAAATCTACTTGTGACGAGCAAGGAAGAGCCTGAGCGGCGAGCAATGTGCGAAAGTTCCTATCGGACCCAGCCCATGGTCTTCCTTCATCTTGAGCGTTGTGGTACATCGACACCAGCGACTGGTGCTAGACAATAGATATCACTTGCACCATTGACTGTTTCCTCAGTACCTTATTTCTCTGTGGTTTAGTTAACAATAAAATAAATAAATAAAAACAATAAAGCAACGTTGTGAAGTAGCCCTTCTTTAGAGAGGAAGGTTTAATAAAATACCCCTAACTATGCATTCTGAAGAAGTCCAAAACTCAGCTCCTTATGCCACAGTTTAAACCTAGTGTTGTAAACAATAATTTTTGATAGGAAAAAGTTTTCATTCCATATTGCTAGTGGCTTCTATAATATAATTTGAATGACTGGTTGGTTAGTATTGTTCCTAAAGAGATAGAATCCTTAATAATTTCCTCTAACTCAGCCCAATCGTTTAAGACAGTTAGATAAAGAACTTTGGTAGGATAAGGTTTGTGTGTATGATTACCTGTAAATTTTATTTGATTTCTTATATTATTTGTGGCCAATCATTTTGCACACATTTCACAGAAGTGAAGTATGATAGCAGCTCAGAGACATGCATGATGGTGTAATGTTTCTGGCATCTCCGCTGACCAAGGTATTCCCGTGTTATCAGTGCCCAGACGATTCTATCTCTGTTTTACAAATATATTTCTTGACGTAATATTTATTGTTACCTTTATGAATAAAACCATCGAGTTCAACTTTGGTTTCTTGAAAAATCCTTAACATCGTCTATAATATTATTTGATTTAAATACATCATCTATAATACTTAGTACAGTAAGTGTTTTCTATGTTACATCCCTTTTCCAGCCGTCCAACTAAACCGATTTTTACCATTGAGCTATTTTTAATAAAGCACACCTGCAAATAGTATTTAGGGTTTTGCCCCTATTTAAATATATTTTAAATAGGCTAATTTTTGTAAACTGTGACCTGATTGAGGTACCTAGGTGAATCACTAATTATAAAATAAAATTATAGTAAATTATTAGTTCTTTTTATCTAATAACTGTTCCAAACAAACATGTTGAAAAGATAAATGGGTATTGCAATGTATAAATTTTGTCTCGAAAACAAGTTTTGGACCCTCAAAACTGTTCAATTTGTGCACACTTATTGAGACAACTTTTTCACCTGTTAGCTTTATTGATAAGTTATAAATTTGAAATTTTTTTTTCTAAATTTGTTTGAAGTTATTGTAACCAACAATAAACTATAAACAGCCTATAAAATAATTAAGCTTGAAATAATTCAATTCAATGCCAACTATAAAATTACGTCCATTGTTGGTATAAATCTATGTATAATATTGTTTGAGGTTAAGGAAAGTAAAAAATTGTTATACCAAAATACCCAGTTTTTTTATTTGAGTTCAATGTTTTGCACAATATATTGGTTTTTTGTAAAAATATGATATTCAGAACTAAACAGTGTTTTTTTCTCGATAATGTAAATAATTTTATAAAAAAATACTACAAATAATGTTATAACTCAAAAATAATGTGTACTAAAATTTTCGGGAAAAGTATTTTGTTACATACTATACAAATACAAAAAAGGTGGTATATTAGCCAAGAAGGGTGTTAAGCTGAGTACTTAAAGTCAATGAGCAAACAATGACAAGCTATCAGATTGGGTTTGATAAAAAATAAATATTACAATAAACATTTGAAATGTTAATAAATATGTCAACTTAAAGTCCCACGGGCAGTGTTCAAACTTTAGAATCAGAGGTTAAATTAATTAAGTTGTTAAATGTCAGTTTTCTCATAGAATTGTTACTAATATGTAGTTATTTGAGTAAACAGTATTTTTTTTTCATCCACCTTTTCTGTCAATGTGATCGGAAATGAACTGGCTGATTTGGTGTTTTTTTACTTTAGAGGATTTAAGTAACTCTCAAAATTAAATTCCAGCTTGATCAAATTAATCGTTTTCATGTTTTTTTTCTTTTTAAAACCATTTTACTACTATTTTAATAAATTAACATGATCTATTCTGATCGCTTTTTAAATAATTGAAATTTATTACAGCTAAAGGTTCTGATCATAAATTGTAGTTTTAGGAATAATTTAAATCCAATTCCCACTTTGCAGTGATAAGGGATTACTTTTATAGTCCTCGCCACCCTAAGTTGAGGCAGCCTAAGGTTGCACGGCGTATATCTAGTGCGGCCTTTGGCTGCCTCAACTTAGGGTGGCGAGGACTATAAATAGTTTTTCTTTCATTAATATTTCAAAATAGCAGAACTGAATAAATTTCAATTGTTTATTGACCTTTGTAAGGACCTACTGTAGAATGAAACTTTGACCAGAATTTAATTTCCAGCTATGGAGAATAAATAACTTAATGAATTCCAATCAATTATATTAAAAATATTTTATATAATTGCAATAATAATTAACTGTCTGTTTAGTGTTTATCTGCTTAAAGCTATCGCTAGACATAAAAATTACAATATTGTTGGCCTAATCTAAAGCCGTCTGGACATGGACAAACTACCAAAATACAGGAATATTTAAATTGTAAAAAAATAATTAATTTCTTATACTATAAAAGTAAGCTAGTAGATATAAATGTGTTGAGATCGGACTATTCAATATTATTTTCACTAATCTAACCTTAATCAACCTCAAAAACTAGTCTTAACATAGTTACAACCGAAACAAATAATTTTTACACAACAAAATATAACCCAAAAACATTTTCAAAATAACATAACAAATTGACTCAAAGATAAAAGTATTGTTTCACAATTCACTACTTGTTATTATCACAATCAGCTGTTTTACAAACTTGCTTCAGCATTTTAGTTTTTTTATAAAAAAGATTTGTACCATGGTACATTCTGTACTCTATACAATTTGTTATCCAAAATATATTCATACACACACCGACACACCAATTAAAATTAATGTCTAGACTACCTTTATCTTATCTTACTCTGACAAATGGAAATTCGCTTAGTCAACAGGTTTGCTGCAAACCCATGGTTGAATGTTTATACAGAATATAACAGAGTACCATTTGATCAACTCCTAGAGCCTTAATAGCTTACTACTATCCCACCATATTTCAACTGCACGTTTAGAAGCTCTTTCAAAATTTGTAACTTATAGATCCATATTATTTACTTGATTACAAACACTTAAGACAAAAACAATTTACACAAAATAATTTATCTACAAACCAGTTAACACAACTCCACAAATATTACATGCACCAACATTTAATAAAAAAATAAAAATATATATGTATATAATTTTAGTCACATTTTAAATAGACAATGATTGTTTTTCGTGATAAAATTACATTTTTACCACGTTTATTATTTAATATTCATCCGTAAAAACTACTGCTTAGCATTACAGAACCATTTATGTACAAGCGACTTGTTATTTCTCAAACAAACTGTCATATGGACTTACAAAACTACAATAAATAACCTTTTGTGTAAATATTATCACCTAAAAAATTAGAGTATTATTAGTTTCTTACGAAGAAGTTTAATTCCCAGCCATAGCAAGGCTGTAGTCAAATTTTAGCCTTATATCTCAGGCCTATATGACCCACGATTACTAGAAAAGACCCAGTATGGATCATAAACATAAACAAATGACGTTTTTGGCCCGAAAGTAAAACATTATTTAAAATTGTTTCAATGGAACTGTTCAAACCATATGTTAATGCTTTTAGTATATGATTCGGGCCAAAAACGTCATTTGTTTATGTTTATAATCCATTCTGGGTTTTTTCTAGTATTCGTGGTATGAACTATACTGAAGTCAAATTTTAAAGCCCGACTCCTTAGGGCCAAGGACGTCTTCATTCTTTTGGGTGAAGAGGAATCACAAATTTTGAGCCAAATGGAGATCGGTAGCGGATGTTCAATCGGGAGAAGACCTGAAATGAAAATGTTAAGAAATTAGAAATAGCACTGAAATAAATGTATTTAATATTAAAAATTTGCTAAACAATCAGACAAGGATGGGAAATAGCGCTTAGCCTTCACAAATAAGCAGCAAAGAAACCAATTTAACACGTTTTGTGCGGCCGTTCCCGATCAAGTTAGGTGCTCGGTGTCCGTACCCGATTGGGAACGCTCGGCAATGCCTTTCGTATATCTTCGTTTTTGTTCTAGCATCGGTCGAATGCGGACCTATACCACGTTAGTAAGTAGTGTGTGACTTGCTTTTTGTTATGGTGTAGGTTGGTAGTAAATTTCCCCATAAAATCCCCGTCTGGCAAGCTTAAAAATCAACTGGTTCTCCCGCCTTTCTCCCTCCAATTGGCAATACAATCACAATGGGACCGGCTACGTTCCAAGCACTGCTGCTATCTGTGGGTGTTTTAGCGAACTACATCGACTCTCATCGTAAAGCAGGACATCCCCGCACGTTATTTGCTATTCGTCAGACCGAAATTTAAAAGCCAATCACACACGGAAATCGGGTTTGTTCGACGCTGAGGGCGGCGCCGCACTGGGGATACGCCTGCCACTTGAAGTGCCGCAGCGAACATGTTAAAAAAATCTCTGACTAAATGGTACATCGTGTAATATTATACTTTGTTCACAATATTTAGTCGGTTTTACGGGAAGAAATCTGTCCCCTCCACTTGACCCTTACCTTTAAAATAAGAGCTCAACAGCTGATTAAGCAACATATACATTAAATACAAAAAAGTGGTGAGAGGGAACTTCCCCTCAAACCACCTAAATATTATGAGCCAAGTATAGATTAGGTTAAATTATAAAACAAAAATTATTAAATCCACAAATTCTTCTCGTAAGTTTTAACCAGGGCTGAAAAATATAAAAAGAAAACCAAGACCAAAATAGAAATGGAACTTGATATCTCTGTATACAAAGTTAAATACAGTAGTCCCTAAAAAATTGGGCTTAATCTAGCGGTTTGTAGCCCGTATAGTAAAAGGCCAGACCATCGAGAGATCATTTAAATTAGTGACTGTATTGGTGTAAATACAGTACCATAATACAATATTACATTGGACGAATACGTTGAGGAGAACCCAAGTAGATCTTTACAAAACTACTGATTTGATTAAACTTTTCTTGGTTTGAACAACCATTTTGTTTGTTTTTTCAATTTCATCTAAGTAGTGGTCTACGGATTTTTTTAGTCAAGTACTAATGTAAATAAAGCCTACTAGTGCAGCTAAATATGAACAAAATTTAATATCTAGCGTTTACAAAAGATAGTGAGATAGTCGATGAACATTTCACAATGGCTACACTTTCTTTGTAAGCTCAAAAATGTACATTTTTGAATTGTAATGTCAGAAACCAAGGCCACACTAAAAAACAGGCCGTAGTGCTCGTCAAGCATGACGTCACGATAGAAGACGGCGATGACGTAATGTTTTCCGTTTGTGATCAGCTGCTTGTTTGAATCTTTCCTTGGAAAATAAATAGGTAAATAAATACCCACGTCATTGCCGTCTTCTATCGTGACGTCATGCTTGGCGAGCGTTACGGCCAGTTTTTTTAGTGTGGCCTTGCAGAAACCAATTACAACTGGAACTCCAATTTCCAACTTAATCAAGCGTACTTGTTAATTAAATTTTACTATAAAATGCTCAAATTAATGCTAGGAGTTTAAAATTCTACTTCCCAGACTCAATCTGTGATCAAGGTACTAATGTGATGATCTCCAAAGATCACAGTAACATTGTAATTATCTCTCGTGTTTGTTTAACATCATGATAATTTCCATGTTAGGGTTTGTCCAATGCTAGCCCTTTGCTGACTGTGGCAATATCGTAAATCTTTTGTCCAAAAAACTCGTTGGGAATTTTTTGAAAGGAATAATGCTCTATTGAATTCCCAAATCTGTGATAAATGAAAATTGAAATCTGGAGCAATTTCCTAAACTTAGATATTTGAAAATCTTAGTTAAGGCAGAAATTCACATTTATCACATTAATCATATTGATAAAGTATTTTAATGTAATGATCTGCCCTTTGCTACCAATTCAGTCAGTACAACTTTGGTGCTCACCGGACTGTTGGGTTGTGAAAATTACGAGTCTAGTTAATAAAAATATTTTCAATGTTTGATGTCTTGCCACGACCCACTGCTCCCGACTCATAGTTTGCGAATAACTGCTCTATAAAATCCTTTGGTTAGGCCAACAGAAAATAATTCAAAAAAATTAAACAAAAACATACCATCTGAGGTATTGCCAGGTTGACCAGGAACAGGTTGCCGTTGTCCTGGCAGTGTGCGACAGGCAGTCCGGACATCAGGGAGTGTTTGACAGGAATTCCTGGAGTGCCGGATCCCGGAGGCTCAATAGCCAACATGACACTCTTGCTATCACTAGCCCATGAGACGATGGGCCGAGGTATCTTAACTGTCCTCTCATCTGCAAGTCCCACGATCACCAGGTCTACGTTGGAGGTTGGCAGCTCTGTAGCAGATAATTTCCAAAATTGTTATGTACTATATTCATATATTTACAAAAACAAACTCCTCACGTTTGAAAATAAAGTTAAAAAAAGTTTTGGTCTAAAAGCAGAAAATGGAGAGTGGAGGATGAAACACAATGGAGAATTAAGAGACCTGTTGCAGAAGCAAAAATCAGACGACTAAGATGGGTCGGACACATACTGAGAGAGGATACTGCATTGATAAAGCAGGTGTTAAAAGATAATGCTGAAAGAAAAAACCTCCTGGGAGTATCAAAAAGAGGTGGAGAGATGAAGTGTCCAAAGATATAAGGAAGATGGGAATCATGGAAGAAGGTACTGGGTATGAAAAAAGTGGAGGCATTTAGTTGGCAAGGCCAAATATGCCCTAGGTATCGATGGCCATGGGAGTAAAAGTATTTTCGCATTCTAGGATGCGGGCTCTAAGGAACCGATTCACACATTATTTGAGTAGGGTTAGAGTAACAAGGCTCATAGTTCTATTGTTTTATTTATGTTTACACTTCCCTTTTAAAGATCCATTGATGCTGACTAACTTTCTGTATAACATTTTGAAATGATTTTAATCTAGTTTACTATTTGACCACAGTAAGACTTTAAAAAGAGACAAAACCGTTTATGAAATTAATTTCAAAGAGGCTCCTTTGATTTATAACCTGATTGATGTAAGTAAATCAATATTTACGTTGTGGATCTACAATCTACAAATTTAATTGACAGTAAATTAGTAGTTTTGTCCATATAATAACTGCCTGAAATGAACATATTCTTTGATCAAGGACATCTGCATCCAGTTTCACACCATCAAGCTACTCATTTTTCTTAGGATCAAACCCGATACCTTCTACTGTAATGTTTTGACTTTCTCCTACTCTCTCTTCACTCACCGTTGACATTGTCAGTGATTTTCTGCCCTGTGAGTCTGTACAGGTTGAGTTCCCTGTTGACGTTCTCGTCATACAGCGTAGGGTGGCTGAGGAACACCATGGTGTCCACGCCCTGGGTAGCCAGCTGCCTGGCGCTATTGACAGCCAGCGCGCCGGGCCTGTGAGAACCGGCGAGTACCACCACCACCGGACACTGCTGGCTGTTCACTGGGTTCAGTCTGTCAACAGTTCATTGGTTAGGGTTGGTTGACGACCTCGGGTATTAGGAAGCTCAATAAAAGGTTGAGTTGATATTTAAATACCTCTTTTAGTGTTTAACAAATACTAATTTGAATAATTTACCACTCATTAGTAATCAGTAATTGTTACAAAGAGAAAAATTTCAGTGAGATATTTACACCCTGAGGACAAATGGAGGAAAAGACAGCGTATAGTTGTGACCATGAGTTCTTAATTTACCTCCCACATTTTGAACATAATTGAATGCCTAACGCTTTTCGGTTCGGCCGTCACACACACAAAATGCTGACACCTCTTGTCAGAAGAACAATCAGAGCACACATTCTATGCTACGAACCATCAAAACCCAAAATGGATGTGTTAAATACTTTTTGACACTCAACAAAACCACAATTACATTTGGAAAATAATGCTGGGTAGAAAATTTGCATTATGTTTCTCTTGCCCAGTAACTGAAAGCAGTGACATTTGCTAAAATTTACAAAAACTGTGCCTTATTATTAAGAACCCAACAAATTCTGCAAAAAAAAAATACAATTTTATATTAACAAATGAATTGTTTAACAATTCAAATAGTTTGCTCTCTTTCTCAAAGTAGCTCAGGCTGCTGAGGTAAGAAATAAGAAGCAATGACGTAGACTATTGATAACAGAACTACAAGTGTCAACGCTCGCTCAGCGAAAGTTAGCTGACAATAACAACAAATCTATGACTCATTGGTATGAAGCCACAGCAGTTTCAATAGAAAATAGTTTCCCTAGAAATACTGCAATGTCAATTTTGTTTTCCGAATATGCAACACATATTTACAAGTATAACCAATCCATGTAAATGTAAATTATAAAATACATTATATGTATACTAGCAGAGTACCCGTCCTTTGTACGGGGTTGGTATATAAGTAAAAAATTCTTATTGCAGTTATACTCAACCTTTGGATTTTAAATGGGGGAGGACACAGTTTGATAAAATTTGCTTCTTTAAATTCACAATGTACCCTATAGTATTACACATCTACCATAGCCATAATGTTTTACCACTTTACCTAAACAATAGAGAAAAATAAATTATCAAAAATTCACAGATTATCACCAATTATTCACGAAATTAAAAACATAAACATAACTGTAAACAATCCTACTTTGACAGTTCTCATTACGTATCACAGTTTTTTGTTGCTTTCATAAATGCAAAAAAATATTGTGCTGCACCCTGTTGGTAAATCTTGTAACTTTTTAATGCTTTTATATATCATAGAACCAACTTCTTTAGTTGAAACAGCTGACTAAATGATTTAATTCCCTTTAAATATGAATACTCATAAGGTTAACATGGGTTGATGAAATTTAGTATGTATGTACTAATCCATGGTATCTCCCCAGTGTTTTTTTTATCTTTTTAGAAATTTTAATTTTTAATAATGATTTTTCCATAAAAACCCATAAAATAAAGAAAAATTGAATTTTCTCAAAAATTGCCGGAACAGTTTTGATACAAATTTACCTATGTTACATCCCTTTAAATTCTAAACAAAATCTTACAACTCCAATAGCTGTATAAATTAGGTTTAAAAATTAATTGTAACTAATATTAATTTCCCAAACAATAAAATGAAAAATTGAGTTTTTGAAAAAAATTATTTTGACTAAAATTAGTATGTTATGGTGTTTATAATTCTAAACAAATTAGTGCAACCCCCTTAGCAGTTATAATGCACTTTGCAAACTTTAATTGCATGTTATTATTTTTGTTATCCTTGTAAGCATACTTGTTATCAAGGTTCTACTGTGAAACCAAACCAATGTATATACAGTGTGATTGAAAAGTCCCGGAACGGTGAAATATATTTTTTACTCATAGATAAAGTAATGAGATTTAGTACCGGTATATCAATTTAATAGCAATAAATGTCTACTCTTTTAAAAGCTATTTTCACTTTGTCATCCCTTAAGGGGGACGGCCCACAAGGATTCAGACAAAATTCTTAAATACCAGCACAGGTCGAGTTTGGTTTCAAATTAGAGGTCTTAATTATTAGAACACATTGCCATAAACCCGAACTCAAACAGACAACCAAGACAAAAACGGCAGCTGTTCAAATAGTTCTCGAATCTGCCTTTTTAAATCTTAAAATGTCTTCAATATTTGACACAGTTGTTTGTTCTTTTGAACTCAAATTTGCTGCCTTGTATTCTACTAATAAAGACCTTTAATTTGATGTGATATCGACCTATGCTTATGTTTACGATTTTCTTCCGAATTCTCGCAGTCGCCCCTTTGAGGAGGTTAGCGTCCTAATATCCTTGAACAGCTGCCATTTTTGACTCAGTTGTTCTTTTGAGTTCGGGTTTGTGGCAATGTGTTCTACTAAATAAGACCTTTAATTTGATACCAAACTCAACCTGTGCTGATATTTAAGAATTTTCTCCGACTCCTCCTGGGCCATCCCCCAAAAGGGATAAAAAAAGTGATAATAGCTTAAAAAAAGAGTAGACATTATGGTTATTATTGATATACCAAGTCTCAATACTTTATCTGCAACGGTAAAAAATATATTTAACTGTTCCGGGACTTTGCAATCACACTGTATACAGGGTTAGTAAAAAGTGTGGAGACCCCCTGTTATTTTTGTAACGGCCCATTCTAGAAAAACTAAACTCGGCACACCTTTATGGCATGTTGTGAAGTACTTTTTGGGCATAACCGTCACTTGGTGTACATCCCCCAAATGGGGGAAACTAACAAATTTCAAATACAAAGACCTATCGAGTGACTCCTCATTTTGAAGGTTCTCGTAAAAGAAAACCGAAAACGCAACTTAGAGGTCTTTATCTCAATCCAGTAAAAAATGGCAGCCAATTTAAATTCTCAGAAGTCGAATTTAACTTGCAGCTTTCCAAGTCTGGAGACCCCCTGTAAATTTTGTAGCGGCTCACACTAGGAAAACTAAACTCTACACACCTTTTTGGCATGTTATGAAGTACTTTTTAAGCCCAATAGCCACTTGCTTACCAAACCCAAAATGGGGGATTTCGGGGGAAACTCAAAAGTTTTAAATGATAAGCCCCATCAAGTGACCCCTCATTTTGAAGGTCCTGGTAAAAGAAAACTAACAACGAAAACTAGAGTTTTCTATCTCAATCTAGTAAAAAATGGAAGCTGATTGAAATCCTGAGAAATCGGAAATAGCTTGGAATTTTATATTCAATTGGCTGCCATATTTTACTGTGTTAAGATAGAGGCCTATAGTTTGCGTTGTTAGTTTTATTTTATTATGACCTTCAAAATGAGGGGTCACTCGATGGGGCTTATCATTTAAATTTTTTGAGTTTCCCCCAAAATCCCCCATTTTGGGTTTGGGAACTTATGAGAATTTCAATTGGCTGCCATTTTGTACTGAACTGAGATAGAGACCTCTAGTTTGCGTTGTTGGTTTTCTTTTACCAGGACCTTCAAAATGAGGGGTCACTCGATGGGTCTTTGTATTTGAAATCTTTTAGTTTCCCCCAAAATCCCCCATTTTGGGGATGAACACCAAGTGGCGGTTATGCCCAAAAAGTACTTCATAACATGCCATAATGGTGTGCCGAGTTTAGTTTTTCTAGTATGGGCCGTTAAAAAAATAACAGGGGGTCTCCACACTTTTTACTAACCCTGTATAATACATTGGTTATTGATAACAAGTATGCTAACAAGGATAACAACAATAATAACATGTGTAATTAACGTTTGCAAATGATAAGGTTAGCAAAGTGCATTAACTGCTTCAATGTAAATGGTTATTACTGTACCAAATCAAATCAAAATGAATAGGAGTACAAAATCAAGGGTATTTGGAAATGACATTTGTTATCGAGGGTCTTATTATCACTGTTCCACTGTAAGATTTGTTTAAATTGATTGGAGCTATCCAAACAACCCTAGCAAAAACACCCTGAGACAAATATTGTATAGTTGATTCCGAAATACTTAACAACTCCCCATACGTTAATAATACCCTACCGATGAGTAGAATTTAAGTCACATCTAACCTCTCACTGTATCAGTTGTTCTGCCTAGTGAAGATCGTTATCACTTAAACTAAGTTTGCAAAGACTTCTTTTGGACAGTTAACAGTTTTTTGTTTTTTTTCAGTAGTGTTGAAAAAATTTAATCTTATGTTACTTATCGTACCTGTGAGGTCCGCCGAGTAAGGGTATTGAAACCTCCGCCACAGCTCGTCCCATCAGCTCTGCCTGACGAGGGAACGTTAGCTCCGCCTCCTCCATGGCTACCAACAGCTGCGAGAGTAAACTGGGTGTCAGGCTGGGCACTACCATCCCCTCGTCTAGTTAACACGACAAAACAGAATAAAACTCTCTTGTGCCAGTATGACTAATCTAATCTATGGGTGTAAGATTGTTTTTTAGGGTTATAATTTTAAAGGCTGTTTAGTTTTTAGACACTAGGGAACTCTGGCGATGAGCTCCAGTAGTTCCCCTAGTTGTCGAGTATTTCGGGACTGTAAAACCCCTAAAAGCCTAAAGGCCAAAGGCCCAATCGTCTGCAGAAGGTGATTTCCAAAAATAAAGGTACAAGCATACTGATCAAAGGAAACCAGATATTAACTTAGTAAAAGTTTATACAATAAATCGTTGTTACTCTGAGAAAAGACTCTCCAAAGAGATTTTCTTTTGTATGAAATATGTTGATTTTACATAATACTGACAGAACTGATATGACTAGTAGGCCTAATGCATTTCTCTATTCTTGAAATATTAGGTAGATTGTGTCAAATTTATTTAAAAATCCTACATTTAACTGACACTTAGGAACTTAGGTAATAAAACATACCAGTGATATACTCCTTGTAGTACGTCTGAGGAACAGCGATCTGACGGAAGCGAGACTGGACCTCCTCATTTTTATAGTTGCGATTTGGTCGGTCAGTCTGTTTCACAACGTCTGGCCTCTGATTGGCGTTTATCTCTTCAAAGACGGCCTTAAACATGAGTTAACAGGTTTAAAACTTAGTGAACAGTTCATCCAAAGAACATCAGAAAAGTTGATCTCTTGGAGAGCAATTCACTCAAAGAACATCAGAAAAGTTGATCACTTGGAGAGCAAATCATTCAATGAACATGAGTTTACAAAATTGAGCATTTTGAGAGCAATTCATCCAAAGAACGTAAGAAAAGTTGATCACTTGGAGAGCAGTCCATCAAAAGGACATAAGTAAAATTGAGCATTTTGAGGGTGATTAATCCAAAGAACATCTGAAAAGTTGATCACTTGGAGAGCAATTCATCCAAGAACGTCAGAAATTTGACCACTTGGAGAGCAATCCATCAAAAGGACATGAGTAACATTGAGCATTTTGAGAGCAATTCATTCAAAGAACATCAGAAAAGTTGATCACTTGGAGAGCAAATCATTCAATGAACATGAGTTTACAAAATTGAGCATTTTGAGAGCAATTCATCCAAAGAACGTAAGAAAAGTTGATCACTTGGAGAGCAGTCCATCAAAAGGACATAAGTAAAATTGAGCATTTTGAGGGTGATTAATCCAAAGAACATCTGAAAAGTTGATCACTTGGAGAGCAATTCATCCAAGAACGTCAGAAATTTGACCACTTGGAGAGCAATCCATCAAAAGGACATGAGTAACATTGAGCATTTTGAGAGCAATTCATTCAAAGAACATCAGAAAAGTTGATCACTTGGAGAGCAATTCATCCAAAGAACGTCTAAAAAGTTGATCTCTTGGAGAGCAATTCAATCAAGAACATTATAAAAGTTGATCACTTGGAGAACAATTAATCCAAAGAACATCTGAAAAGTTGATCACTTGGAGAGCAATTCATTCAAAGAACATCAGAAAAGTTGATCACTTGGAGAGCAATTCAATCAAAGAACATGAGTAAAATTGAGCATTTTGAGAGCAATTCATCCAAAGAAGAAATTTAAATAATTTACCAATTTCTCCAGAGGGCAATAGAAGAGATCATGTATCTATAACCAATTTCTTCAAATAACATAAGGAAAAATTAAGTACATCTTGGACGTAAGCTGGCAGTGTAGACTGAGGGTGAAGGTAAGGAAAAGACTGGACTGCAAACATTTCTGCTGACTCATGGGATTGACTTTCAGTGTTTCATATACTTGAGCGCCTTCCCGTGGGTCGCGAGGACAGTTGAAGCAACTCGCATGAGGGCACAACAAGTTTTTGTTTCATAACCAGGCTAGTAGTGATCGGTCAAGTGCCAGCTTACATGTTACGAGCTGTACAGTAGACTCTCATAGACCCAGATTTTTACAATTTTCTTAAAATCAGGCGTTGGTGTTTGAGAAAACATCTCGATAAAACTGTTTACAATTATCAACTGGGTTGAAAAAAGTATAACAAACATACCTTTTTGTTGAACAACGCTAGGTTTTTCTCAAAGTCAAATTCTTTCATCATTTGATGAGGTTTTATTGATTCGCCAAAGCAAGCCTCGTCTCTCTCCGTCCATTTGTGCCGAGGGTTTTTCTTGTTGCTGTTGGCAACTAAAAAAATCAAAGAAAAGTTTAAAATTAAATAAAACTTCTGTAATTGTCTCGTTACGAGCTCATTTTGAGAATCTATGCAACTAAGCTTTGTGTACAAGTAAATTAAAAATATATTTTTCATCATACTGTCCGGAAACAGCTGTTTTTAGCTGTCTAAATCATCCACAAAATCATTGTTTTCAGGTAACTTTAAATAGTGAACAGAAAAAAACATATGGTAAATTATTATAAGACGATTAACGAGTGCCTAAAATGTGACTTTGCTCATTGCATGTACATGTTTAACGGCAATAAACGATTCTTATTCTTATTCAGTTAACCTCAAAATTTGTTTATAGCACAAGCTATGTTTGTAAACAATAGAAGTGTAAACATGACTGATGACGACTTTGTATAACCTCAAATTAATTATGTGATCTAATTTTGTAACAATTAGAAAGTTATTTCCACAGTATGATGAAAATAGTTGTTCATTACACGTAGAGAAAGTGTCCTTTTGGTACGAAATAGTATTTCCAAGGTCAGTGATTGTGTACCAAAAAGAGCAACTTTCGCTCCTAGTGATGAAATATACTAATGCTTGTTACAATTAAGTTAGGCCTACATGTATGCCTATTGATAATTGTATTTCAAAGTCTTGAATGTTTCAAATTAAAACATTCAATTTGCGCAAAATTATTTGATTTTGTTTCATCACTAGCCTAATCACTAATCAACTTCAACCTCGTTCTTCGACCCTTCAAACAACTTTGAAATCAATAAAAAAAAAACATAAGGTATTCAAAAAATGCCAGATTAGTTGCAAAAGGTTTTAAACAGCCTCAGTGAGAGTGCTAAAGAAAAAACCTACCCTCCAGTCTGCAAAATGTTTACACTCTACATGCTAGTGTCACAAGATGTTACCGGTACTTGCAATTGAGTTTTACCTGTTACTGAGTTCTAAACTAACTCGCACAGTAATTAAATAGTAATAGCATTGACTATACACAGTGTAGACTTCCCATCCAATGTACAAACTTGAAGCCAAGTAAATAGGCCTACATCAAGTTCAGGACCATCTCACATTGGGTTAAATATTAATTAAAATCCATGCTAACAGCTGATTAATTTATAACTTGACAACAGAATATTGTCATTAGTTGGTAGACAATCTCAACAGATTGCACCACGTTTTTTTGGCGTCAAATGTTTTTCATTGGATTAAGTATACGCTGTGTATAGTCAATGGTAGTAGGCTAAGTGAACGTTAGGTTGTTACTCTTGACAGCCAGATATAAACCATTGCAGCATAATTTTTCAATAAATAAAAAACACTCTCGCTGCAGCAAACCTGCAGACTAAGCAAATTTCCAAAGCCTATGTCTGATTGTATTTTCAAAAAATATTCCCTTAAACTTGTCAGATTTATTCCCTATTTAAAAAGACATTAAATTTTGTGGCTATTTACGTTTGCTGCAACGGGGAAGGAAAAGGGGATTTTGGTAAAATGTTGATGGTATATTATGCACAAAAATTTGACTTTCAACCTAAAAGGGACATAAAATGTAAAAGTAAATTGGCTGTGCCACCTACGTTAGTAGATTCTTCCCTGTACGGGAACTCGCTAGATACAATAAAATATAACACAAAAGGTAGCCTATAGGTTAGCTACTTACACAAGGCACTTTGAAATGTATCAGCATCATTCAAAGCTTTTCTGGGAGATTCACTCAATTTAGGCGCAGGTTTAGCAAACTGCTTGTTCGGTGTTGTGTTTACGTTTGGTTTGAAATGAGCAATGTTTTCACTCACAGGCCTGTGTGCGCGTTTGGGCACAGGTTTGGGAACTGAAATTGTACTGGCGACTGAGGCATCTGGCTCGTCTATATTCTCAACTATCTTGATACTCTCGATGATGTGAGCACTAAAACATGCGGTAAAGTTTGAACACCAAATTACAGAAATTTTTAAGCAGAATCAACAAAATATCATGATTGGCCAAATTATGCTTTGAAAATTAAGAAATATAACCTCACAAAAGTTAGCTTTGTGAAAGAAAAAACTTTGATACTCATCCGACTCCATTGTGATAGGCCTAAGTCTGTTTTCAATTTTACCAGTAGATTGACTACAGTAGACTCCCTCTTATCCGGGCTCCTGGGACCGAGGCCAGTCAGGATAACGGGTGTTCCGGTTAAACTGACGTCCCCAAAAACTCGTTAAAACGGACTGTTTACTGTGACATTCGACTTAAATTTAGGAGAGCATTGTATTTAGACACGTGATCACTGGTATCAAATCTTACCCCCAAGAGAACAGTTGTTTTAGTACTGCCCACTTCCTGCCGATCTAGTCCGGTTAAACCAATGTGCTGGTAAAAATTGTCCGGTTAAAGGGATGTCTCCAAACCACCGAGTGTAGTCCGGTTAAACCGATGTCCGGTTAAAAGGTGTCCGGATAAGAAGGATTCTAATGTACTCTAAAATGATCATATACCATTTCAATGTGATCATTCACAGAGTACGGTAGCCTATTTAGGCTAAGCGAAAACAAACTAAGTAGGGGGTAACCTAATTTAACAAAATCACAAGGTATATGGCAACAAAAATAGCAAATGCATAATATCCTACATGTACCGTATTATCAAGTTATAGAATCAAGCCCAATTGATAACTCGCCAATAAAGCTAAGATCGATTAAGTTAGTAAGAAAAATTGATGAATTGATCTATCCGATACCAGTTATGCCAAAATAATTAGCCTAGAGTAGATGCCGGGGATCGAACCTGTTTCTCTCGCATCAAAGTATGAGACCCTCACCCTTTAAGGCGAGCGACACATAACACATAATGTAAGGTAGTGGTTTGCATGGAAAGGAATTCGTCACGCAGCGGTAGTGTGTTGAATTTAAGTGCAGTACTTTGTCGTCATACTACCTCAGAAGCTGAATCAATGTACTGTAGCACAACTTGTTGATTTTCTAGTCTAAGTAACTTAATGTTTAACAATAGCTCACCTTAACACGATTTGAGGCTCAGTGCAAGCAAAACCATTTTTAAACGGCTTTCCTAAACAAATGGATTGATTCTCAGAATTAACATCTAAAACTGATCCTTGATACACACCAAGTCCATCAAAACATTTAATTGAGACATTTGCACCGAGGAAAGGATTTGCCATCTTGAGTACAATTATTCTAACCCTACTAACCTACTTAAATTTTAAAATATTAATACCACAGTTTAAAATAAACTAAATCACAATATAACCGTTCTTGAACAAGAACAACAGCGTTTATATGTCAAAGGCAAAGCCAGTTTAAGATTTGTTTCTTAAAATTTACGAAAATTCACCCTTCTGCATACTGCAACAGGCAAATAGAACAGAATACAGACAGAGCAAAGTGTACTAGCAGACGACAAACAAAAACAGTTTGACAGAAGACAAGGACTACTGAAATCGAGTGTAGAAAGCTGAAAACAAAACACGGAAAAAATAACCTCATAACTCAGTTCGTTGATTATAAGTGTTACTAATAAGTAATATATGTTATAAGAAATTATTATAACGAACTATTATAGGAAGCAATTGTCTTTCAAGGAGAAATATAAGAGTCTAAGCCAATAAATACTAGTTTAATGAATGGCATTATTGTTATTATTTTCATGGTTAAACATTTTTGTTTTATTTCCAAATAATGTTGTAATCGTTCAAATTTTTGTGAAAAAACTATTTTTGTGGTTTAAAAATACGAGTTGATTGCAAATGAATAACAGTGTACAGTATAATATTGAATCTGTGGAGAATCTAAAAAACAAATGAACTATAATTATTATTTCTTATAGAATTTATTATCTTTTTCAGAGAATGGTGATTGCCTTTTTTATTTTTTGTTATTAATGAATAATTATGATTAGTATGATAGGTACTGTTACTGCAAAAACATCAATAGAGGTTCTTAAAATTGATTAGAGCTTCACTTACTTTCCATAATTGAGATAAATATTCGTCACAATAAAAAGTAAAAACATGCACAAAAAGTTGTCACAATATTTACAATCACTACTGCATAAGAGTAGGAATGTTGCTGATCTGATTAGAGTTAAAGTTTTTTTAGTATTATCAAAGAAAAAGATTACATGTAATCTTTGGTATCATGTTATATAAAATTGGTTGTAGCCTATTACTAAATTATTACCAAATTTGTTACTAAATTATGTACTAAATTTGTGCATTTTCTTCATAGGGATATTCATTCAAGCTCTGAAATCACTTATAGTCATCAAGTGCTACTGCACACAAATGTCAAGTCTTCAACTGAGGACGGGGGCTGAAGTATAGGTTAACGTCCGAAGTCGGTAAACTCATGAAAATAATAAAATATAATAAAAGTCTACCTTACCACAACCAACAAGAGCCATTGAGACAAATCTAAATAGGTACATGAATCCCACTAAAAATTGAGCTCTTAAACTCTCAGGATCCCTCTAAATAGACTGTATAATTGTGTTTGACGAATTTACTGAGCTCATAAAAAATTCTTAACTAGGCCCGATTCATAATGTATTTTAAGTGGCTTTCCTCATCACTTTGTACTGATATACCAGATACACTATAGACTCCATTAACTGCGATGGGCTCACTTTATAACATTTCTCAATAAAACACATAAAAGTAAAGTATTTCGATGAAATCCCTTATGTGACTATCATGTACCCTTGCGATTTCATTATAATTTATTTTTGTTTAACGCAATGGTAAAACTTTTAGAAGTAAAATGTGTACAAAAATGCCTCCGCCACAGCAAACCTGCAGACTAAGTGATTTTCCATTTATCTTATTGGATTTTCAATTGAATCCATTTAAATACCATTCGGTTTAACAAGTACCTAGGTATGCTTGATTAGGGAAGGTAATAAGGTGTGTGTTTTTTTGTAAAATATTAATAGCTTGGTAAATAAATAAATTTGCCAAGTTTGTTTAAATACATCCATAAAACAATCAAACCACAACAGTTTACTTAGTCTCCATAATTATAAAATAAGAATTTTAAATTTCAGTTTTTTTTATCTTATCCATAAAAAATAAGTATGAAAACACTTCAATATACAAAATTGTTTTTTTAAAGCTCTTTAAAATGTTTTAAAGATAAATTGGGAAATTTTAAGTTTTTATGGTCTAAAAGAGAAAACCCAATCCACCCCATAAAACCCCAATCCCATCGTCCGATCATGCTGGTTCGCGATCCCGCCCTACATCTCAAGCCAAATTTTATAAAAATCGGACAAAAATTACTCAAGTTATCACGTTTACGGACGTATAAATCTATCGATACAATGGTTCTATAACTAATCTTTAACACTTAATGAAGCAGATTTAACAGAATCGGTAAACCTAACAAATTTTTTTAAACTGTCTTTTTTTGTAGAATTATAATTTTGTGGCAAAGAACACATTGCGTCATGTACAGTACCATGTACAACCATGGAATGTAGGGAGTAAATTTGAGTAGCTTTAACTGAGCATTATTTGATTCATCCTTTGTATCCTAGGCAGAGAAAATATCCTCAGTGATGCGTCCGTGGAGTTTGATTTGTAAAAAAAACAACTGTATATATAAACAATTATGTTAGTCAATGGTTATTCCTAACAGTAAAGCGCCTGCGGATAGTGGTGGAGCTCAGAACAACACTTACTTGTGGTACTTACCGTTTATATTAGTTGAAGGCACTGCTCTGCTATACTACAGTAGTAGCCGCTTGCCGCTTACTGTTGCCTAAATTATTTTCGTTTGTACAGTTGGAAGCTTACAAATCATGTTTTCATAACATAACACAAAACAAAATCTTTCATAAATACTGTAATAGATCCCTACAAAACAGATTTGATATTTGTAGCTTTTGACACATTTTGAATAGAGAATAACACAGTTTATACATTGAATAGAATCTTAAGTTTTCTTAAGCGGCATTTTATACTCCCTTCAAGTCTTAGAAAGAATAATTAATTTGTGAATACGTCACCTGTTAATGTACCTCTAACCTAACTAAACTGAAACGAAGAAACAATTGGAAAGGTGGTCCTTGAGGTCTAACAAATTAAGTAAGCAACGACTACTACTTTAATTTTTTCAATAAGTTACTTCCAAAATAGAACTGTTTAAAATAGTCCTTCTTCAAAGCTTAAATACGCTAGCTAAGATAACAACAAAAACTTCAGAAAATCCTATGCTGTGTTTGTTTACATTATTTTATTGGATACAATGTCTGCGTACTCGTACAATGAAGATTGTGCCTCTCTGTGTGTAGGTGAGTAGGCATCTGTAGTTTCTCTTGTACCGTATTTCAGAGGCTTCTTTACAGGTTGTAAGTTGAAGTCCTAGTTCCTCATGGCAACGCCTTAGTAGTAAAGAACGGAGATCGCAGCCAAGCAATACTGCCAAGTTCAGAGGAGCAGCCTGTAGACACTCATCAGATGTGTGCGTGCTTGCTGCTTGAGACCATAGCTTTCATCACATTCTTCCAGATGATCCAGTGTCTTCGTTCACAGAGTTCCTGGGAGTTGGTTGACTTGTACTCGTACTCGAACTTGGAAACTCGTACAATGAAGATTGTGCCTCTCTGTGTGTAGGTGAGTAGGCATCTGTAGTTTCTCTTGTAGCGTATTTCAGGGACTTCTTTGCAGGTTGTTAGTTTTAGTGGAAGTCCTAGTTCCTCATGCCAGTGTCTTAGTAGTGAAGAACGGAGATCGTCCAGAGGAGCAGCCTGTAGACACTCATCTGACGTTTGCATGCTTGCTGCTTGAGACCATGCTTTCATCACAATCTTCGAGATGACCCAGTGTCTTCGTTCACAGAGTCCCTGGAAGTTGGTCGACTTAATCCGATGGAATTGGTTGATCTCCTCACCATGGGCTGGAAAAATCATACAATGATTAGTACTGTGTACACTTACAATCAACAAAAGACATGCTGCTTATATCTGTGTACGTGTTCTGTAGTGTTCCTCCTAAATGAAACTATCAAGGTCCCTATCTTGAATGTCCCGATGCTGGATACCTGGCCACTGACAATTGCACAACTTCCTGATTTGTAGCAGCATTTTCTTTTCGGAAGCTGTCTAAATTGTCAGCGACCAGAGTCGAAAAGTATGATATCTTGATAACTGACTAATGAACATTTTTCTACGACGCAGGTACTTTGTATGTTTTGTCGTCAGTTTTTGTTGTTATTTGTTTTGTTTTGTCTTTGTAAGTCTTTGTATATTTGTTGACGGCGTGAAATAATGTTGAGATTTTAAAGTAGTTTATAAAATAAACATAATGCACTTATCTTTTGGTTGTAGCTCTCTCAGGTGTGAAGTCCCAGAAGAGTTTGGAGAGCCTCAAGACCAACGACGGGGTTCAGAGTAGATCCAGAGTTCTTCTCCCTTTTATCCTTAGAATCATTCTAGTCCTCTTCAGTTCTATCAAATAAGCCTCCTAAAAATGAAATGATTCAGAATTATTGTTACAACTCCCATATTTAACTGTAGTCTAATATTCAATTGAAATGTGGGTGAACTTTTTCGGATACCTATATAGAACAGACATGTTGAAAAGGTTTTCTCCCTTCTTAGTTGCGCAAGATCGATAAAGCATAAACATATAAATCAGTATCAATTATGATAACCAACAGGTAATTTCTATAACTTACCGAGCTAGCCTTTTGCATTGTTGTAAAGTCTGAATCCACTGGTGGGTTTTGGAATGTTCTTTTCGTTGAACATCTTTAACAACCCTCCCTCATTTTGTCTTTCGCACCTGTGTATACTTTTTTTAATTCATCAACAGCAGTTTTGGTTTGTCCGTTGTGAAACGATTTTAATTTTGATATATTTGGTTCAGTTTCTATAGATACGAAAATAGATTTCTGGTTACAATATCAATGCATCCTGGATTCATTGGGAATAACCACTTTCAATATAATATTTTTACTAATGTACTTTTTTCCTTGCTTTTCAACGTTAATCGTAGTTTATTCGTTCTTTAGTCAATATGGCACATTTGCACAGGCTCGCCGCTATGTATGGGTTTAGAATATATTGAATATAATGAAATCTTGATAGACATCTTTTTGAACAGCTAAATAACTTCACACACTCTTCACTTCATCAATTCGCCATGGAATAAAATCATCAAAATTTCAAGAACGAAAAATAAAACCAATAGTAAATTTTTTGCAAAGTAAATTATTGTTTTATGACACAGTACGAACAGTACTATGTTCTACCAATTGGGGGACCGAGCAGGTCTAGCGGTTAGAACGGTTATGGCGCAGGACTCCAGTCTCTGAGATCCCGGGTTCAAATCCCGCCAATCACCAATGGATTTTATCTAAGTAATA